AAGAGGAGTAATTTGCGCTTGGAAGGAGATATTTAGAGAACAAAATTGGCGTTATTGTCTGTTCTAAAGCATATAAATGAAATGCAAGATCTTTTAAAATATTCTTCCTTCATTTGAAAGTGGTATGCAGCAATTGAAGACATTGCTTTAAATTTGTTTTTCAAATATCAACCAATTCATGTCCAACAGCCTTTTGTGACACTTAGAGTGGAGGGGTCCGTACCCTCCTCCCCCTTGCCAAACGTTTCTGTTTTAAAATGTATGTTAATCACAATTTTTGCAGGTACTTGGTTCCTGCTGATCTAACTGTGGGGCAATTTGTTTATGTCGTTCGTAAGAGAATAAAGCTTAGTGCTGAGAAGGCTATTTTTATCTTTGTGAAAAATATCCTTCCTCCCACAGGTAAGCAGAATCTTAGCACAATTGTCAGTATGCTTATTTTTTTCTTATCGGATAACCGAAAATCCCCTGAGGGCCAGTGGTGCACGGTTTGAAACTCTGTAGATAATGCACTGCCCCTCTACCTTTATCCTCTTATATACAAGGCAGACAAATGCTTTTGTACCCGTGATGTTACTTTCTTACAACTAGACCAAGGCCCGGAGGCATAATTGTCATTATGCCTTGCTCAACTCTTTTCCTTTCTGATCGTCTTTATTTCCGACCTTTTACAGCTGCCATGATGTCCGCCATTTATGAGGAACACAAAGATGAGGACGGCTTCCTGTACATGACCTACAGTGGAGAGAATACATTTGGATCCTTCTGAAAATGCAGTCAAACTTCTCTGCCTGTGTAAATAACTCTTACTAGAAAAAACATGTAAATTCGTTCTTCTCGCTTTATCTTTCTTCTAAAAGACAGAATCTTATGTCTGTTGCGTACTTGTTTAACTTTGGTTAACATCAACTGGTTTCAAGTATATATATCTACTCTATGCAGTTTCTCATTTTCCCTCTGCTGTTTTGTGTTCTTGTTGGTTTCTTTTCCTCATATTTTTCCCTTTATAATCTTCAAATGTATTTGAACTTTGTTATACTTTTGTCGTTGCTACTGCTCTTGCCTACATTATTGTCAGCATGACTTGCTTCATTGCTGTGTTTCTTTTCCGTACTTGATTTTGATATGTTTTACTTGAGGGTCTATCGGAAACAACTTCTCTGCCTTCACACCACCCTCTTCAGAGCCCACTTGTGGGATACACTGGAAATTTTGTTGTTGTTGTTGGGTTTTGTTATAACTGTCGAGGGAAGATAACATCTGATGCATATGCTACCGGGAGGTAGTTGGCACCAATGGAATAGTCGAGATGGCCACAAGTGGATATCTCCCGTAAACAAAAAATGTATTTGAATAGAAGAAGTGTAAAATCGGACACGTTTGAGCGCTTACACTTCTCTACCATTATTTTTGCCTAATTTATCTAGTTCAAGATCTATTATTTGTACTTGTTTAAATAAATCTTTTAAACACAAATATAAAATTTGAACCAAGATTATTGGGTTCGGATGAGCCCATAGTTCCATCATTAGATCAGGGCTTGAGTACACCGAAACTGGGAGTACTTGTTTCTTTTTTTGGAAATAAATTGTATTTTATGAAGGTAGAGAGATTATTTCCGAATGATCAGTATCTTCTATCGGATGAAAAGTCAAAATTCCTGATGCCAATGTTGGACATTTCCACTAATTATTCTAATGTTTGTCATATTTGTATTTATTAGAGTCCGGAGCCTAAAGGGCAAAAAAAATGGTCAAAAATTCCAAAAGGGCACATCACTTTTTATTTTAGCCAAAAGGGCAAAATCGCTGCCCTAGCAGCGATTTCGTCTAAAAAAATTTTTTATTTTTTTTATTAAAAATCGCTGCCACAGCAGCGATTTTGTAAAAAGAATTAAATTTTTATTTTTTTTACAAAATCGCTGCTGTGGCAACGATTTTTAATAAAAAAAAATAAAAAATTTTTTTAGACGAAATCGCTGCTAGGGCAGCGATTTTGCCCTTTTGGCTAAAATAAAAAGTGATGAAAAAAAAAAAACTTTTTTTTCTTCAAAATCGCTGCTATAGCAGCGAATTTGGTTAAGAATTTTTTTAAAAAAGTTTTTTTCTGAATTTAATATTCTTTTATGTACATGAGATGTATATCCACAGTAGTGAAGCATTGTTTTGTGTACATGAGATGTATATTCTTTGTTTTGTCAAAAGCCCTTTTGGTTAATTTTTTTTTTGATGTGTTGTTTTAGTTTTTTTAAAGAAAAAAAAGCAGCGATTTTTAATTTTAAAAAAAAAAATTTCTTTTTTACAAAATCGCTGCCACAGCAGCGATTTTTAATAAAAAATAATTTTTATTTTATTTTTTTTACAAAATCGCTGCTGTGGCAGCGATTTTTAATAAAAAAAAATAATTTTTTTTTTTAGACGAAATCGCTGCTAGGGCAGCGATTTTGTCAGAGGAAAATCGCTGCTGACGTAGCGATTTTGCCCTTTTGGCTAAAATAAAAAGTGATGTGCCCTTTTGGAATTTTTGACCATTTTTTTTGCCCTTTAGGCTCCGGACTCGTATTTATTATATCCATTCATCTGTCCACTATAATGCATTGGAATTTTCGCCCCTATTTCAACACACGTTTTGTAGTTACAACTAACAAATTGATTAATTTCTTTTTTTTGTCTTAAACTATCTATCGTATTTCTTTCTTAGGAAAAATATTATACAAACATGTCTTGTATTCATTTATTAATCTAAAGAATGAGTATACTTATTTGGTAGATCATGGCACCTATAAATTGACTATAAAAAAATGTCATTTTCACATGGAAAATGCATATGGCAAGCTAGAACTATCCTATGCCTTTCAAATTTGTTCATATATTGTTGTATCTATCAATATATATATATATAGTGCTTAATTTATCATTCACCAAAAAGTACCCCAATTTTTTCATCAAAAATATATATACAAATTTTATATGTTTTATGGCTTTGTTCAATTTTAGTAGTTGTTTCTCCAAATCCTCAAGTTCAAGCAAATTGGTGTGCAATGGTGATGTTTGTGTTTTACAAGATCCCAATAAGAACAAGAATAAGCCAAAACGAAGCTTTAAGATCTCATTTCCTCTGATTTCTTTGTGCAAGTACGACAAACAGTGATGTTTGAGTCAGCTTGTGTGCAACCTGCATGGATGAACAAAGGAGATTTTGGAATTTTATGGTTTTTGAATTCTAGGACGCCGAATTTGGGTGCTAGAAACCGAGTTATAATAAGATAAGTAATTGTACATGCTTCATACATTTCTTAATACATAATACTTGGGCAAAATTCTGTATTTTGACCTATACATTATATTTATATTAAGAAATTCATTATATATATATATATATATGTATATTGCATAGTGAGGATCAGCTTATGCATAGTGAGGATGCAGAAAGTAAGTTACGGATTCATAGAACTCGGTAACATTGAGTCCAAATTTTACATTGTATTTATGTTAATAATCTTTTTGTTAATAAATACATATAGATAACACATTAGAATCCATTTATTAGTATTTGATCAAGGCGTTGTTTTAGAATCCCTAACTAATTATTATCAATGTTTATGTGCACCTCGATTATTTCATTGAATATTTACTACCATCCTTAAGCAAACTTGTTGTGTAACTTTATCTACTAAGACTCTCACAAATGTGTAAAAAACCAATCATTTATGAAATTATATTGGATGTGTTACTGTAATTATATTGGCTTAAAAAAGAAAAGAAATTTTGACAAACAAAGTGCAAATGTATGCATAAAAAATTGTTTTGCACTAAAACTGAAAAGAATAAAAAAAAATGGAAAAGTAAATGCGGTGAACGTGGATCGAACACGTGACCTTCAGATCTTCAGTCTGACGCTCTCCCAACTGAGCTATCCCCGCTATTGGAAGATAATTGAACCGCACTTTATTTATTTATGGTGGAATTCTATCTCACCTCCAATTAGCTTTTGACCTCTATTCAGAGGTCGGGCTTCATTTCGTAAGCGTAAGCTATATAAAGAGACATTCTATGACTATGAAGGGTAAGCAAAAAAAGAAAGTTTCTTGACCCGATTCTCTATTAAATTCCACATTCAACTCCACAAATTGAATATCTTATATAGTTAATATAAGGCACCAGAAAGAAAGGCAAGCAGTAGGCCTGATTCACCAAGTTCTACCACTGCAGGGCCCAATCATAATCAAAAGCGGAAAAGAGAGGATTTGCTTTGCAAGAAAAAGTCGAATAGACTGACCTACGAGCATAAGAAAGAAGAGGAAATTGAATTATGTCGTGTGTCAATTTAGCTAAAGTTGTTCATGGTTTAATGTGCATGTTTAGTGGAAATGATTTATGGGCCTATTGAAACTCTCATTCAATCGATTCGCATCAACTGCATCATAGTTCAGCATCTTGGAATGTTTAGACCAAAACAAATAGCTACTCTTCAAAGTGCTTCTGCAGAAAATCTCAAGATAAGCAGTTTTAGATGTTCGAACAAATAAGCTCTTAGATCGCTATATTCCTAGTTGCTTTTTCCGTTTATGTATATGTAAATAGAAAGATTGGTTTATGACTCATGACAAATGCTGTTTTAATTATATTTTCCTTTTTATAGGAGATTGATATAATGTAACAAATTAAATCAGTAAATAAAATACGCGAGATCTTTGTACCATTATCTTCTTATATTCAAGTTGTTTGATAGGAAAATGGGTTGACCTTAAGAGTTCAATAGATTTGTTAATCACGTATACTCATACAGTAAAGTTAAGAGTTAAGTATAATTATTATACAAACGATACAAAAAAAGGTTCATTAAAACAATGAAGATTATCATAAAATACTGTTAATTCAAATAATTTAGTCCACTAACCAAACAATGTTATAACCTAGTAAAAATGATAGCCCGCTGTCACAGGTTAAAATTGGTCGATAGTCAATGACACAACTCTTTCACCAATTAACAAATGAAGCTTAAATAGGAGGATGAAAATCAGAATTATCTAACAGTAAATCAAGATTCAACATGGGCTTTACACAGCAAAGGATTCTCAGTTAATGTACCAATATTGGCAGTTACTCAACTACGTCCTAGTCGCCATTAACATTGCGCGAATTTTGGCCCTAAGATCATCTGATATCTCAGTTGATTCGGACGGCTGAGATGGGGCTCTTTGCTGGGAACTAGATACGTCGACTGAAGCTTCTCTGCTGACAGAACCTCCCAAACTTCCTCTTGATTGATCTGACACTTTGGTAAGGATCTCACCTTCTTCCAGTTCTTCTCTTTCTTTGGTACATTTCTCATTCTTACCACCCATGTCATACTGCTGCTCTTCATCATCAGTAGAGCTTGCATGCTTATGTCTGCGTTCAGGTTCATTGTCGCTAGAATGTTTAGTCCTGTGTTTGTGTCTATCTTTACTCCTATGGGAAGTTCTATGAGATCTATCAGACTCATCATCACTAGAATCCTTTGTCTTGTGTTCATGTCCGTCTCTACTGCGGTGGGAGGTTCTATGAGATCTATGTTTCTTCTTGGAATGCTTATAACCCCCCTCATCATCATCTTTCCTATTTTCACGTGAAGACCGATGACTTGAATGCTTTTTCCTTCCATGCTTGTGATGTCTCTCTGCATCTCTTTGCTCATCATCATTTTCAGGGGATGAATGTCGTTTGTGGTGCTTCTTTCTTGATCGCCTATTATCTTCATCATCTTCATCCTCACCTGCATTTTCACCATCTTTGTGTCTATGACGGCGTGATCGCCTCTTTTTTCTGGATCGCTTATCATCCCTCATCTTTTCACTTTCTTCGTCTTCATCTTTTCTTGAAGAGCGGCGCTTCTTCCTGGAACGCTGCTGCTCCTCCTCCTGTCCCTCCTCTTCTTCATCCTCATCTTCATGTATACCACCAGATCTTGACCTGTATTTCCTTCTCGATCGCCGCTCATGCTCTTCAGCAGTATGTTGCATTTCAGATTTCTCATTTTCATTCGACACATTGTTGTTATCTAATGGGGCAGTACTGCCTTCTCTCTCCACAGCAGTCAATTCTGCCAGAGCTGCACTGCCTTCTCTTTCTTTAGTAGCAACATTAACCTCTGTAACAGAACCTGATAAGGCAGATCCTTGTGGCTCCACTGACCCTCCGAGTGAATCTCTTTTGGCAGGAGCTGCTCCACCACCTTTTAACAGGGAAACAAACATCTTTGCCCTTCTCAGCCTCTCTGCTTTTAGCTTCTGCTCTTTGCTCAAGTGTGCTTCAGAGGAGTCTGCTTCACTTGCAGCTTCCGCAGCAGCAGACTTTGCAATTTCCTTCACCTTTGGAATCGAAACACTATGTCCCATCCTCCTGTCAGACTTCTGACCAACTATACTGGGCCCAGATGGCGGGACATTGAGGAAGATCGAGGTTTGGGCACCCTCACTGCTCTGACCCTGACTATCGCCGTTCTTAGATGAGCCTGAGATGATACTCAAATTGGGATTCTTAATACCTCTAGTGGCTGCCTGAAGGATAGCGGCGGCGGGAGGCGCAACCACAATC